ATAATCTATGTGTAGTTTGTCTATTTCAGTTTCTGTTATGTAAAGTCAAGTGTTAATACTGAGAAATAACAGATTATCGACTCTCTTCACTCACTCTTGATTTCCATCTCTGATTAAAAAAAACTTTTGAGCAAGCCTAAATGGTCTTTCCGCTTGTTCTGATAACTACTGAATCCATAAATTTACAAGATAGGAAAGAAGACTACCATTTCAGCATCAATGTTGTTGCTTTCTTACCCATGCAAAAAGGAAAACAGGAGTTGAAGCAAGCAAAAACTATAGAAAATCCATTCAAGGAAAAAAGAATCTTAATCTCTGCTCTCCCAATGTCATCATAAGAGAAATGATGATTTTCGCAGTTCTTCGCTCCTAAAAACAACATTTATGGCAATCTGATATAGTTGTGTTAGCCAATACAGAAAATTCACCAAATTCATTGGAGAGGAACCTTTGTCGACAAAAAATTGGTCAAGAAGAACAAGCAACCAACATAACATAATTAACAAAACCATGTAGGTGATAAGGAAAGGTATAATGGAGGTTACGTACCGACCTCGTGTTTATACACTAAGGGGCCTTCTACCAAACACTTACCCGGTAAGTGCTTACTGGTAAAATTTAACACTATTAATTACTTACCGGGTAAGATTTTATTCCATCAAAACGACATTGTATGCAACAATTCACCCGGTAAGCGCTTACCGTGGTAAGAGTCGATCGCCCTCACTTACCGGCTAAGACTCATGGTCCTTGTCTCACTCTTACCAGGTAAGATTTTTAGTCCTTATCATATTCATCCGGTAAGGTAATGTGACTTAGTAAGTGCTTATCTGAGTAAGTGTTTAGTAAACGGCCCCTAAGATACCTTCCAGAAGCACCAAACAAGCTCCAAATATCTCCTGAAATATGTACATTAAGTTTTATGAGCATTGAATGCATATAACTCAATTTAGCCTTATGACTAGTTAACTTTCATACTTTAATTTTCCTATTACAGCACTGTTTTCTATCCCTGTTTTACTCCACTTAACCTCAAAATCACTCAATGACTTCTAAGATGAATTAAACTAGACTAAATTATATTTCACATGGCACTGGTCTCACAATTTCAGGATGTCTCTTTGATTTTATACGAATTTTTGAAGTTACTGCAGAAACAGTGACTTTTATAGTCTAAAATGTCCATTTTTTATGCTAGTCTACCCAAATCATCTCCAAATGGTTCCAAATTCATAATTTCATCCTTAAACATCATAAAATTTATAAAAATATCAAAACCCCTTTCATTTATATACTAATTCCATGATTTGCCAAGTTTGACTTTCAAAAGTCAAAGTTTATATATAAATCCTATAATTAATCAACAATTGCTTGTGAATCCCGTAAAAAGTTTTTGACACCTACAACAACTCCTAATAAGTTCAAAACTTAGTTCCAAATCTTAACATCTCATCACACACCTCTAGTTTGAGTGTTGTACCGAAAAACAGCGTAATTTGTAAAACTTGCATAAAATGCAATCTACGCGACTTTTTCGACTTCCTTCACTTCTAACACTTCATATTAACTTATTCAAAGGTGTTCCAACCTTTACTTCACCGTTTAGATCATCCGTTCAAGTTTTAGGTAAATTTTTCCCATTTAAGCGCTCTAGTTACCTACCCGATTTCCATTTAAGCAATGTATTTTGTATTTTGAACCCTCACATCATCTAATTATGTCATTTGTGAGGTGTTAGCACAAAACTTACCTCCTACATCTCATTATAACTATGGGTTCTACTTATAGCTCATTAATACACTTGTCATTTTAGCAAATTCTCTTTTTACACAATTAGCACATAAAGCATGTTTAGAAGGGTGGATGCTTCCAAAACACTACAAATGCTTCCAAAACACTACAGTTTCCAAAACACAAGAGCTAACATGTCCTAAAGATGGGATTCCCCTTCTAATTTCCATCTTCAAATTTAACGAACAATTATAGTTTTACAATATCATGGATCTATTAGCATAGAATAAAAGAATCAAAGGTTATACATATGGAATCGAACATACAAACAGTTGTTGTTGTTAGAACAAGTTTACATACATCAATAATTATCACTTTTTTATCAGTTGGGAAGTACATTTATTGTTCTTATGATTCTTTATGCTTTTGTTAACTGTTTTGATTTCCATGTGAAATCAAAGTGGCCAATCTTGATGCATATTTGTACCTAATGGAGAAAGCACCTCATACTTGGTCGCGTACATTTTTTGAGATCCATAGAGCTTGTGATGCTGTCAAAAATGGCATTAGTGAGTGTTTTAACTCACTATTGGTAAATGCTAGAAAAAAGCCAATCCTTACTCTGCTTGTAGCTATTAGAGTGATAATGATTGAAAGGATGGATAAAATGAGAGAGATATGGGAAATGGGTGGATGATACTTTATATACTTTAGTACTCATTGTTCATAAACTCACTAACTTCTCATTTCCATGTAGATTTTGGCATGTACTTCCATGCGGGGGTGATCTTTCTGAGGTTAAAAGTGGGTTTGATGCTTTCATAGTTAATGTAGATGAAAGATCATGTACTTGTAGAATGTGTCAACTATCGGGTTTGCCTTGTGCCCATGCTATGGTTGCGATCTTGTACGTAAACAAGATTCCAGAAAGTTATGTTCCAGATTGTTTCAGAAAAAGCATGTTTATTCAGTCATACACTCATCATTTAAGACATTTAAGCGGAATCAAAATGTGGCTCAAAACCAATCACATCAGCCCCTTGCCGTCGTTGCCAAGAAGATTGCCTGGAAGGCCAAAACTTAAAAGAAGAAGGGATGCAGTGGAAAGATTATTGACTTCAAGAGGACAGATTGGAAGACGATGAAGAAGAATGACATGCACGAAGTGTAAATCAAGTCATAACAGTTGATCATGCAAGAATGCGGAAAAAGATGCACCATTGAAAGATTTCAGACCACCAGGTAGGCCTAGGACTAATTTTTGTAGACAAAGCAGTGAACGGGGTACACGAGGCGGAACGGGTTCACAAAAGGGTGTTAAAAAGGTAATGTAAAATCTTCGAGTTTCATACTAATTTTATATATCAATTGCATATTAATTTGTTCACTAATTTAAATAGGAACCATCTCAAGTGGAGTCACGACCAAAGCTCATCCCAAAAAAAGGAGGTCAAGTGAAAGGATAACTTTGAACAACCTACGAAAAAATACTGTTGAGAAAGATGGAGAAGGTAGTAGTTGTGACAAGGCGGTTCCACTTGATTAAATAACATTGTTAGACGAATGTGAATAGAATGGTTTTCTTTTTGAAAAGATATTCACTTGTTTAGTTTTTGGCATTACGAAGTAAGTAATGAAATTTACGATAAACTCGATGAACGAATGGTTTTTTTTTTTGAATATTTTTATTCGTGAAATAGTAATCTTTTGTAAACATGTTTAATTTCTGATGTTATAACTTTTAGAATATATATTTGATTAATTTACAATGTTTAAATGATAAAAAAAATTAAAATTATAATATTGTAATAGAAATTGCTGATTTATAATAAAATACTTTTGAAAGTACAATGCTATAATAAAAAAATGTCATGTCTGCACTAGCCTACGTGGACAATGAGGTGACAAAGAAATCTGATATAATGGGTAAATTTAATTTAAAATGTTACTCAATACTATAACGGGTAAATTTTTGAAAGTACAATGTTCTAATAAAAAATATTTTGAAAGTACATTGATGTAATAAGAAAAACTGAAAATAAAATACTATAATAAGAAAATTTATAAAAGTAGGTTTTATTTCGCGCATTTTGCCCAAAATAAAAACATTACCGCTTTTTCAAAACCATATAAATTCGTATTATATCGATAGAAACAAAGAATAAAAACTAAACATTAAAATCGAAATTTATCCCGCTGTATTACATAAATACCCTTCTAATAGTACATAAATCATTAAGTAATCAAATACAAGGGTTTTTATTATCGAAAAAAAATTTATAGATGACCCAGACCAAAAAATCAATTTACTATAGCAATCAAAATTGCAATTTACTCTAGCTTTTATTATTAAATGAAATGTTTGTTTTATTAAACATAATAATATAATTAATAATAAATTTTATTAAACTATTGTTAAAATAATTAGAAAAATATGGATATAAAATTATAAAGTTAGTAAATATAAAATTATCATAAAGAAATTAATAAATTAAAGATAAAAACGAACATAATTAAAATATCATAAATTAGTGTAAAAGATAATGTTTTTTTATTAACCTGAATATCCAACTCGTTATCCGAGCCGATCAATTACAGGACGATCATATGTTTAACAGGTAGCCCGAAGTCACAGCATTTGAATCTTCGTGGTCACAAGAGGATTTTTGTTCCTCCTTGGATTTGAATAAAAATTCCGTTGTGACCATGGAGGTTCAAATGCGGCGAGTCATGGGTACCCACAAAGCAGGTGGTCACGCTGGGATTAGTCAGCTTCCATAACAAGTTAGACATCAAAGTTAATAATAATTAGAGAAGATCTAGAGTTTACTTTAAATTTTAGTGTTACTCGTCCGGATACTACCGGAGGTGTAAATGAGCCGATTCAAGTTGAACTGTTATTCGATTTTGAGTAAAAATAATAATAATACCATGCTTGAGCTCAAATAACTTTTTTAGTAAGACTCTAACTCGAGCTCAAATATTTTTTAAATTATATTGTTCAAACTCGGAAATTTCTATATTCTTATTATATGATTTATAAATATACGAGCATGTTTGGCTCGAAAAAGTAAATGCTTAAAGGCTCAATTCGGCTCGATTCAAAAATTTTAATCGGGTTTTAGAACAAACAGGGTCGAACATTAGTGTGATAAAGCTAAACTCGTTAGATTAAACAAGTTTTATGTTGTGTTTGAGAATGATTCGAGCTCGAGTATCATACCATGATATCGCTCCTCTTATGAAACAAGAACAATTGGAAATATATGTAAATGCAATTGAAACACTATATTAATCCAATAACAAATTTATTAATTCTGCCGTTACATGACTTATAATGCAAACAGAAAAACTCTAAAAACCAGGTAACTACTTTAATCGCGCTCTAACTCGATAACCAAGCTCTAAAATTGGTAGAGATAACACACAGTTCAAAAAGGTGATGATATGATAATGATAATGTTATCGATATCGTATGTTAACTAACCATCATGAAACAAAGTAATCCCCTTTGTGAAGAAGAAAAAAACCTCAACGCTTGACCCATTGGAAGCTCTTTCTTGCTTTCGCCTTTCCAGGTTTCTTTCTTTCCACGACTCTCGAATCTCTTGTCAAGAAACCAGCTGCCAAAAACACACAAGTTTCCACATCAATCAACTACATACAAGGATACCTGGGGCCCGCTTCGTTTGGTTGGTTTTCTATCAAGTGGATAGTTTGGGAGGGTTTTCCATTGGTATAAGCGTGTTTTTTAATTGCTAGAAGCTTACTGAATAAGCGACTTTCTCTGTACCAAACAGTCGTGTACAGTTGACCGAATAATTGTGTTAAGTTGAAAAAAAATAAAAAGATAAAACCACACAGCTTCCTCCCACACAAACAAATAAAATGAGCACCAAGAAGAAACAAAGAATGAAACTTTGTTCCAAAAGAATGCAAATACTTTCCGTTTTGTTTTGTCATTATCAAAGAGCAATTCATTAATAATCGAACAACTATATCAATCTATATGTATGCCAAATCAAACAGTGCATTTTTTTGATGGATTAACTTTCATGCAAGAGGCCATTGCTGCATTTTTTTAGGAGACAGCAAGTACATGGTATAACCCATCGTATATGAGATTCTAGAGCATTTGCCAAGACATTTGACCAAATAACTAGACATATAACCAAAACAAAACTACTTATAGCAAAGGTCAAGTATTTGCAATTAAGACAAGAAAAGGTCTGTTTACCTTGTTTCAAAGGAGGACGGAATTGATCAGGTGCCCAGTTTTGCAACGCCCTGCTCATACCAAGACGGATTGCACCAATTTGACCTGCAGATATTATTAAGTTAGTATTAAAAAAAATACATAATCAACACAACTCAGATCCATAATGCCTATATAGAAGCTGGAATGGTGAAGTTGGAGAAAAGACGGTTTAAAAAGGGGAGAACAAGAGATGGAGAAAATAAACATATTAATGTTGCATTATGGAACAAGGAAGTAGAATGTAATCTTAATTTATGTAAAGGTTATATGCTAACCTGACACGCCACCTCCTTTGACAGTACAATTGACATTGAGAAGACCCAACGTTTTTGTCTCTGAAAGAGGACGAAGAAGAGCAGCCCGTTGATCAAGCATGGGGAAATAGACATCAAATTGTTTGTCATTAATGACAAATTTACCATCGCCAGGTTCAACCCAGACACGGGCAATGCTACATTTCCTTTTCCCCGTGCCATAAGCCCTACCCTGACTATCAACCTGTCTAACACGTGATTTGGTAATTTCCTCTTGCTTCTGTCGCTCTATGTCAGCTCTGGTGGACTTGCTGGTATTCTTTTCATACCGCATCTCCTCAATTTCGCTTAGTGGGGGTAATCCTGGAACGTCATCTAGGTCCTTGAGGGCCATTAAACTTTCCAACATCTCATCCGTGATTCCCGATGCAGCAATTAGGTCGCCAAATGCGTGATCTGGACCACCTGTGTTAAAACATTAGTAGTATTAATACATATGAGAGCACATTTCTGATAATTCACTACTCCTAATCTAGAAATCTCTTAATTCTTTAATTGGATGAATATAAAATGCAATTGGTGAAAGGGTAAAAACATATTATGTGAACAAGTTGTAGCATCTTTATGCCAACTCGCACCAAAGAAAAGAGTTGACAAACTCGGATGTTAAACACATAATAGCTAGTCCCAGGACAAAGGAACAGTATTGTGAAGTCGCACAAACTCATCTCAACCGTCCATCTAGTTTAATCCCAACTAGGGATATAAAAAATACACTGAAATGGCACCTGACCGTACAGTTTGGTTCTTGGTTCTTCCATTCTACAAAAAGTTGTTGTCAGTTTTTATTTGTTAATATTAGAAAGTGTACATTAATTTGGGGGTAATGTTGCATTTATATTACTTGTTTGGTATTTTGCATTGCACATTGAAATTTCGAATCAAATCACATGCATGATGCATATGTTGCTGGCAACAACACACACATACAATTTACATGCTGCAGCCAGCAACAAAATGGTGCAGCACAAAGCATCACAGCAGGCCAGAAAATGCTTTCAAACCAGAAACAAATTGAATTTTCATTATTTTTGCTTTTGGTTTCACTTTCAATTTAGTCCTTAATCCCAACCAGCTTATCAGTTGATTAAATTTAAAAGGATGCTTTAATTATCAACACAAGGGAGAATCCATTCGAAAGAGAGAATTAGCAGAAATAATTATAAATGTTATGCCACCAGCAGCCTCAACTCCACAACATTCAAGTCATACAACCAACTTGAAATTTTGTTCTCCACTAAGCACATCATGGTGCCCTTTAATCCATGTAGGTTTCATGTCTGACAACATATTCAACTCAAAACATGTATCATAAAACCAATCTAGAAATTTTACATTTGCATGTTGCAGTTATAACTTAAAATGGCATGTACTTCGCATCATTTAAAGAAATATCTTTTAGACAATTAAATTTTCAAATATAAATCCCAATGACCACTCGGTTATACCCACCATCATTGCATTTGTTATCCAGTTAAAGAATCACCAAATTAGCATTAAACAATAATATTAATATCAGTCGATCACCGACATAAGTGATAACTCCCAAAATTCAAGTAACATTAACACCATAAACTATTGACATTTAAATTTAACATCAATTGCTATGAAAATCAATAGCCGATTGCAGTCCTGAGATGAATTGCGGTTTTAAAATATTAGCGGCACTATTCACCGCTATTGCACCGCGATTCCTTATCATAATAGCGATCTGCTATAATGCAATTATTCTTGGGCCAATTCAGTGTTGGGGCTTTAAGTTTCAGAATTTTGGGGCTCTGTTTTCATATCTTATGGGTCTTTTTTTTTTTTTTAATATTTGATTATTTGTTGGGCTTAGATTTGGCAAGCCTTAAAAAACCACTTAGACCTTTTTAGAGTTTTAGTTGAATCCATAGTCCCTTTCTTCCTTTCAAGTTTCATCGACTGAATCCATATCCAAGATTCGATCGTCCCTTTCCATCATTCAAGGATCTCGACTTTCATCCAGTAGACCAGCACCACTCGACTGATCCATATCCAAGCTCCAGCCCACTTGACCCCAGTCCTCGACTTCAACTGCAATTAGCTCATTTAGTCGTTTATGAGCTTTATATAAACTTTATTACTATATTGCTTGTGCGGTTTGAAACTTTGAACTGTTTGACTTGATATGTATTAGGCATACAATATATTAAGTTATATATACATATATATATATATATATATATATATATATATTATGAACCCAATTTTTAAGGTCCCAACTGCAATTCCTCAATCGGACGTGTTAACTGCTTAGATCAATTGAAGCTAACATTAACAACGCTTTAACCACCAATATATATATATATATATATATATATGTATTTATTTTATGAACCCAATTTTTAAGGTCCCAACTGTGATTCCCCAATCGACCGTGTTAACTGCTTAGATTAATTGAAGCTAACATTAACAACGCTTTAACTACTAATATTCAATTGGCCTCAATCTTGTAAGAAAGGAGGGACTAAAAGTTGCATCTAGATGGGGGATGCGTCTGAACAGGCCCGGCCCTAGCCACATCCAGCCTGTGCAATCGCACAGGGCATCAAAACCCCAGGGGCATCGAGTTCTTATACGTTATTAGCTTTGGTTTAATCATTAGGGCTGTAAACAACAAGCCAAGCCGCATAGGGCATCAACTAAGCGGCTAATCTAATTAAAAGGAAGGCAGCGTGAATACGGTCATCAAACAAGTGAACAACCGAACTGATTCCTACTATTCTTCATCCCTTCTCGTTCTACTGTTTTGATTCCTTCAGCGAGGGGATGAGCCACCTAGCTTGACTAGGTCCCAAAGGTTATAAAAAGAGTACGTTTTGTTTGCTTAAAAAGTCGGCATGGAAGCAGTTTTTAGCATTCCCACACAGGCATCAGAAACCCCAGGATCAGCTCTGTCTCTGAACACACCTTGCATAACACTATGATTAATCATATTATTACTAAAAAGGACAACTATTATAAACACGTGAGATAGCCTAATTTGTTCGTTCTACTTTTATATTAATACATTATCTCACATTTTTCACTTTATTATTACATATGGTTTATTTGCATTGTTCTACAACCATAACACTTTCAAGCATAACTAATAGTAGGATCCAATAATCACCAAGCATTTTCAATGAAAGATCACTACCATACACCAAATTAGATTAATGGTCTCAAAAGCAAAAAAGTCCATGGGAAATAGGTTGTACCTAGAAACATAATCAACATCATTCGAATCTTCAGTTAAATATCAACCCTTTTAAGCCCTTCAAAGCTCACGTTTTATATTTTCATATTCATTTTAACCTTATTTCTGCCTTCTTATGCTTATTTCCATGTTAACTCTACATTATATCTTACATTCTTGCCATTTCCACTAAATGAATTATGTATTATCAGAAATGCTTATCATCTTAAAGCTCATAGATCGCTGATACTACTCACAATGTCTAAAAACTATGAAACAAATGATGGAGATAGTTAAACATAATCTATAACTCCAAACAAATTTCAATACTTTTGTTAAATAGAACTACCATACATTAATACACGTTTTCATTAGCAAGAGTTTAGGAAAAATTTGGTTTTTGTTTGTCTTCCTATACAAGCTACATAGAAGACTGGCATTTGTCTAGACCATCTGTTTTGTGCCCAAATTCAACCCACGCCAAGTTATGTTATTGGCCTAATCAATAAACCATTTATAAATTTTCGATGATTTCAAAGGGTAGTATGGTAAGTGCCAAATGTATGCATTGCCAATCCCATGACAAAGTTGGGAGCAAATAGATTTAGATTTATTCTTTTCATCTTATGGTTTATTTGATAGCTTCACTACTCTATATATAAATTAGGCCACAATGATTTTTTTTCAAGATAACACTTAAAGACGGTTGACAAACAAACCTCTCCAACAGTACCAAGAAGTGCAATGCATAAAACAACGTGCTCTTAACATAAAACATGGTCCAACATCCCAAACACAACCCAAAGGGATGGTAAACTTCCTTAATACATGTATTTAGCATTTCACATGTTTGATTTACTTCCCAATTTTTGAAGGAGTTTTTCCAGAAATCATTTAGTGTAATCTTCTTGATATTTTCGTGAATTTTTTATTCGTATAATCGTATTTGGGTTCTTTTATAGATGAAGTAGTTGAACCTCTCTTTCCTTGCTTTATACAAAGTTCAAACTAATTAATCTTCATTACAAACTTTTTTCTTCTTCTCTGTTCATATTGAAACCCTACAAACTTCAGAAATTATTCTTTGCGTCCTATGCATATCAAATGTCATGTAACAACAAATAATATTTTGATGGGATACAAATATATGCATATGGTGACGAAAGGTATACCTTTGAGTACCTCTGATAGAGCTTTCTCCTCGATCTCCAGGAATCTATCTTCTTCTTTATTTTGACTTTCCAATTTTACATCGCCATCAAGCCCAGCCGATTCCGAAACTCCTGCATCCCCAATATCAAATATTTCAGCTTCTCCACCATCCTTCTGATCTCCCACCCCAAATTTCCAATCTGTAAATCCTTCCCCTGTCCCCCACTTATCATTAACACGACTCGCCTCAGTCCTTTTACCCTCACTCTCTATCACTTTGAATATATCATGTTCTACATCATTGCCCCCTCCTTTCTCCTTCCATTCGCTACTGAACCAAGACTCCTCTTCCTTATGATTTTTTACTGCATCCCCACCACCAACGAAATCTTCAAGGCTCTTGGTAACTTCACCAAACACAGATTCGATGCTTTCTTCATTTTCCGTTGAAATCTTCCACAAATCTGATGATTTACTACCATTATTGTTGTTGGTCGAAAAAAAGCGTGAGATGCTTGAAAAGAATGAAGAGGAGCAAGGGCTTTGAATCAGAGAAGGATGGTGATGCTTGTGGTGAGATTGATATGATGAATTTAGGGCTACGAAACGGAGGCTTGAGGGTCTTATGAGTAGACGAGTTAGCATTTGGAAAGTGGGGGAGATCCTCCGTCCTCGTCTGGATAGTGAGGTGGTGTTTGCAGAATGTTTTTGGATGGAATGTAATCTGTCAAAGGAATTAGAATGTAATGCTCTCAGGTTTGACCACCTGTTTGGTTGGCAAATTGAAATGGAATATCATGAAAATAAAAATTGTAAATAGATGCATTCAAAAAACATGTTTGTAGAGATTTATATACAAATCTTTTGTATTCACCAAAACAGAGTTTTAGAGATTTATATCACATATAGAAATCAGACAGATTTATAGAGCACATATAGCTAAACCATCACAAATTTATCAAACAGATTTACACAGCATAATCATAGATTTATAAGCACTTATAGCAAAATCAAACACATTGCAAGCACATATAGAAATCAAACAGATTTTTAAGCACATATAGCAAAACCATAGCACAAACAGACAAAAGCATCTGGAACAATTCAAGCAGAAGACAAAATCGAGCAGAGAAAGCGAGACATAAACCGAACCCATAGATAGAGAAAGAAAGTATAAAAATCATAAATCAAACATAAATTGACGGAAAAACTAGAGAAATCGAGCAGATGAAGAAGATGAAAGGTGTGTTTTCGAGCAGAGATGAAATAGGGAATAAAGAAAATTGAACCTGTGGTGAAGACGAATCTGTTTTGGCGTTGCAATGGAGAAAACGAGAGAGTGTGCTGAGAGCTTCCAGATAGAAATCGATCAAATGAGAAAGGGTGTTGCCTGTTTGAAGAGACTAGGTATACTTGGGGTTAAGGGTATTTTTGGAATTATGAAAATGTTAATTCCATTCCATCTTGGTTTAAAAATATGCGCATAATGCGCTCCGATGCGCTGGAGGTAACGCATCAGAGGGGCTGATGCGAAGCGATTCAATGATGCTCTCTGATGCGGTCGCATCACCTATGCATCACACGATGCGTGCATCAGCGCATCCTGTATGTTTCATGTTTGAGCTCCTTTTTTCATTCTTTAAAGGTTTTTAGTTGAGCTTTTTGTAGATTAAAATATAACGTAATAATGACCTAATAAAATAGAAGCCCCTCTCAAGTCTCAAGTCGCATATCAGATTAAGAACATATCAGATTATAAACATATACGTGGGTCGGGTCCATCAAGAACTAGAAGTGCAAGAGGAAAAGAACGTGCTCTTCAGGATGAAGATGATGAAGTTGAGGTGGAAGCAGATATTGGAGGGTTTGATAATTATGAGGGAGATGATACCCGTGTTGGGGTTTGACGATGCTAATTTTGGGGAGTATTAGTTGGTCACTTGGTCATTTAGTTTAGGGATTGGGGACTATTAGACATTTACTTGTGTTCTTCATGGTAGTAGCTTGTGTGTTTCGTTATTTCGATTCACTAACTTTTTAAGATTCTAATGCCACTTTTTGAACTATTTTATATTATAAATGAAGTATTTTGATAGGTAAGTATTTTTAAGGTAGAAATTGATATGTAGAATTAATTTATAAGTATTTTTTGAATACCGGACGCATCACGTTTTCTCTATTGAATACCGGGCACCTGGACCGCTTCGCACTTTTTAAAACCAAGCATTCCATCAAAATACCACCTTTTATGTTATGGAATTAGACCCAAGTGTACCCTAGTCTCCACAAACAGACGACTTCTCATCTGATCGATTTCTATCTGGAAGCTCTCGACACACTCTCTCGTCTTCTCTATTGCGACACCAAAACATTCATCTTCACCACAGGTTCGATTTCTTTATTCCTCATTTGAACTCTGCTCGAAACACACTCTCTCGTCTTCTCCATCTGCTCGATTTCTCTACTTTATCGATTTATGTTTGATTTATGGTTTTTATATTTTCTTTCTCGATCTATGGTTTTTCTATGGTTGCGATTTATGTCTCGATTTCTCTACTTCCTCTTCTCGATTTTGTCTTCTTCCTGCTACTCTATTTCTGTTTGTGCTATCGTTTTGCTATATGTGTTTACAGATCTGTTTGATTTCTACATGTGCTTGCACATCTGTTTTTGTTATAATTTTGCTATATAAGCTTACAATCTATTAGATTTTGCAATATGTGCTTGCATGATTATGGTTATGCTATATAAAGCTGTTTGATAATTCTGTGATGGTTTTGCTATAAATATTGTTATCAAACCGTTATTACACATCCTAGAAGTTTCCGAACCATAACATCGAAGCAATAAGTACAAAAATTGTTCATACACATTTATAGACCGATGATTGGTCTAACGTAAACCACATTTAACAAAGAATATCAAATACATGGTTTATCCGTTTGGTAGTTGGCTATTAATTTGAAAATCGTATTGGAGTACCAAACAATTGCAATCATAGCTTCGTTCCAAATCAATCTTGCAATCATACCTTCGTTCCGAATCAATCTAATAAGCCTATGTCTACGTGTTATTGCTAAACTAAGTCGGGTCATTTCCTGTTCCAACTCAGTAACAAAAATTAGTAAAATATCACACATAACCCAAATCAGTCTAGAAACAGTACCAAATCAAAAACATAACCCAAATCGGTCTAGAAACAGTAAAATATCATTCATAACCTAAATCGTTACCCAAATCAAGAAGAAATATCCACATCAAATATCGTAACCCACATCAAACAGTAACAATAAACAGAAAAAACGACATACAAACAGAAAAAGAACAGAGGAGTCGATCGACGAAAAAGAGAAGCAAAAACAGTCGATTGATGAAGGAAAGTAACAAAAACAGACCAGTCGATCTAGAAACGGTAAGAAAATCATAAAGCAAAATCGTAACAGGAAGAAGCAAAAATGGATAAGGATACGATGGAGAAAAAGGTATACCTGCAGAGAAGGAGTCAAGAGGAAGAAATCGATCGGTGAAGACGCTAAGCCATACTTCAATCGATGAAGGAGAGACACCTGGAGAATCTGTCGATTGATGAAGCAGTACGTGAAAAGCAACGGGTGCGGCTAGGGTTTTAGGGTACTTTTGTATCTCTCGAAACTATTGGTCGGAATGTATTTCAATTTCTTCTCCTTATCGAAAGGAATGATCAAATACACTACGTTTGAAGGGTCTTTGGTTTGCAAAATAATTTCTTAAGTAATAGACTTTGTTAAATAACATTACCAGGTTTGACTAAATACTTGGTTCGTGAAAAAATAATATAATATATCTAATAAATAAAAATGTATTTATTTTGTTCGCAAAAGAATTAAAAAAATAACAAAATTACATTTGTTATCAATAAAATACATGATGCAATAACAAATACATCCCCATAAGAACAAATCATACACAAAATTAGTAATATGATGCATTAACAAGTCAGTACCCCATAAATAGTAACAAAAATGCAGAAACAGGAACATATCGTAACAAAAATATTAACAAAATCGCAACCCACATCTAGCAAGAAACAATAACCAAATTGTACCCACAGTAACAAAAATGGAGAAGGAGGAAGTGGATCTATGAGCAATAATAAAACCGTGAGTCGATCAATGAGCAGTAACAAAAAAATTAAAGAAAGAAGCAAAAATGGAAGAAGTCGATATACGAGTTGTTTGATGAAGGAAAGAAGCAAAAATAGAGCTGAAGGAAAGAAATCGACATAGAAAGAGAAATCATACCTATAGTCGATCGCAAGAGGAAGAAGTGAATCAGTGTAGAGAGTCCAAACTTCTGTTGATGAAGGAGAGAAACCAGGAGTGAGGTGTTCAATCGATGAAGCAATAGAGAGAAAGAAGGTGTGGTTAGGGTTTTAAGTTTTAATGAGAGCATTTTTGTCATTTTCAAAATTTTGGATTGAATAGATTTCAATTCATCTCTTTTGTGAAGGAATGGTGAAATTCACATTTGAGGAAATTTTTAGAACTTAATTTCATTCCATGGCCAACCAAACGTCAGAATTGACCATTCCATTTCTATCAAATTTCGTCGAAATTTGACGAACCAAACGCCCCCTTAAAAGATTCCTTCCATAGAAAAAATGAACCAAACAAATAAATGAAATTTGGTCAAATTAATTCAACATTTTAATATCATCAAACATCTTCAAATTCTGCGAACTTAACGCCGTTGTTAGAGTAATATCCAACCAATTTTTTTTCCAATATATTAGGGAAATGAAAATCACAAAAAAAAAAAAGAATTAAATTGAAGATTGAATTACGAAGTTGGTCCACGTGGTTTAACGAAAATTATGACTAGCATCCTTAAAGTCGAATATGGATTTGAATTTTGGTCCTTGTGGTTGTTTATTTTGTTATGAATCTGGTCGCTCTCACTAACTTTGTTAACAGTGATGTCAAACTTGGGGGAATTTGAGTAATTTCACAATTTTCTCCTATGTTTTACTAACAATTTGAAAAGTAAATTATATTATACTTAATTATTTTATTTATATTCATATCATATATGTCTAGTTACTTTATTTGAGTTTTTCTTTTGCATTTTATTCATATGTTTTACTTGCAAGTTCAGTTCTATCCCTCTTTTTCTTTGCATCAGACAACACCATCAAATCCGGCCGCTAAAAGAAAATCAAGGAAAATGAATGCATTCTTATCGTTTTGATTTTTGTGTTTTTAGTTCTTGATTTAAGTTTCCAAACTAAACAAGAACAAGAAAACAATACCAAACTTGAAAAGGAGAGCAAGTTTCCATCGAATATCATTTTTTTTATTTTAGATAATTTCTTAGGAGGTGCTCAGTGTTTTATTGCTCTTACGTATCATCCTAAACAATGAAGGAAGTTATCCTAAAGGTAACAAGGTTATTGGTAGCTTGGAAGCGTTCGTGTTCACACACTGTGTATGAAATCTCCATAGTGATGGTGCAAGTGCACGCTGACACTGTGATCGCTTGCAAGTAATAGAGTGGTAAAATACTGAAATCGTTTCCATAGGAATTGAACTACTTAGAATCAAAGAATTTCATTAACTTCTTGATCATGTTTGGGTTTGTAATTAAAAGTTGGATTTTTGTTGGTGAAAAGTTTTAAAAGACAAAATAGACTTATAAATAAAAGATGGGCATGAATGTAAGTATTCCTCAAGACAAAGACAACAATATAATGGTCAGAAACATAGAAGATATTTATAAAAATTCCAATATCTCGAAAGTGAAGTTTTATAGATAGTGTCCACAAAGTTCCAACAAAGTTCTCACTTCCATCATTCTGAAGCTTGCTAATTTAGCTAAATAAATAAAGAAAAATTAAACTTAAAAAAACATACTCAAATCTCTTTTTAATACAAATCTCTGATATTTGAACGTTAGCTAAATACATACAAAATTCATATTTCTACTCAATTATCAAAAACTTTCTCTTTTGTGCATCACTTAAGCGGATTTCGAAATCCGCCCATCTCTAGGTCAAAATTTTAATATTAACACTTCAAAGTTGTTGGGTTCAAAGTTGTGCTGAAAAGTTGTATTCAAGTTGTTTCTCCAATTTTAATGTTTTAGTCTTTAATGCTTTCGTAGTATAAATAGGTAGGCTCCTTTGTAATTAGTTGTTAATCGTCATTAGTCTTGTAATCAGTTGTAATCTTCAAGAGATTAATACACAATCATTTGGTGAAAATTCTCTCTACTTTCAATCTCATTATTCTTAGGATTTATCTGATTTGAAGATATTTGAGACTTTCAAAAGTGATCGGATTATCCATGTTGAGTTTTAGTCCTGACTTAAGTGATCAAGTTTACGAAGTGGTAAAGAATGAACACACTCAAACGTTGCTAATAAATCTTAGCTCATAATAGACATGTAAAGCATGATAAAAGAAAAGAAATAAAACTTGAATGGAACTTTCATTAAGATAAAACAAGAGTCCATTGCCATAATGGTGGAGCTATGGGCAGAAGATTACAACTAAGAAACTTAAAACAAGAAATATAAATGCTAAGACTGAAAGCTTAAAAGCAAATATGGAGAGACTTCAACTGAAATGGAATGACAATCTTTTATCCATAGGAAATGAGCCCGTTAAGATCTTGTGGTTAAAGAGTCAATTCACCTCCCTCTTTTATCCAAAACTTAGATTTCTAACATGGCTCCAATTCTAAACAACTCCTAGAAAAGTCTTCACGAAAACTCCCTCCAAAATTGATCCTTATATAAATTCAGAATCTTCCCACTGTGGACACAGTCTCAAAGTGATGGTTTTTGGAATAAATTCTCATCATTTTTAGAATAAAGGGGGGAAAAATAAGAGAAATTGGGTATTTAAATGACGTGAAAACGGGAATAATAAATAAAAAATAACTCTAAAAAATAAGAGTTATCATACCCCCAAACTTGAGTTGTTACTTGTCCTCAAGTAAAGGAAATGAAAGGAATAAAACAACAAAAAGAACAAAAAAGAGCACAAAACTTACAGTGAGGGGTTGAATCTTTGTCAAGCTTAGCTGATGTTTCATTTTTTTGATCTTTGTGGCGTAAAAATTAATCAGTACGGCTTAACGGGAAGTATATGTGGTTAAAAATTCCCCCAAACTTGTCTAAAACAACAAAATAGTTTTGAATGATTTCACACTCCTTTGAAACCCAAAATTTGATATTTCATTAAGGATCTTTGGGTTAAAACGCGTTGCTTTATTTGTGTATTCCAATTTTTTGAAGACAATTTTTTTTAAACTTCAACCGATGCAAATGCTCTCCCAACTTGGACGAACAATGGCCGTATTTGAGAACTTGGCAGAAGTGTGTGGCTAGGTAACTAGAGTAAGTGTTTTGGCCAAAAATGAAAGAAAGCCTACGTCCTTTTAATTTTTGCAAACTCAAAAGAATCTGTCAAGGTAGTCTTAGGGGTCGTTTACCAGACGTTTATCCGGGTAAGTGTTTACCAAGTCATGCTACCTCACTGGATGAATATGGTAAGGATCAAGAATCTTACCCGGTAAGAACGAGACAAAGACCAAGAGTCTTACCCGGGTAAGTGAGGGCGATGACTCTTACAAGGGTAAGCGCTTACAGGGTAAATTCTTGCATACAATGTCGTTTTGGTGGACTAAAATCTTACCCGGTAAGTAAATAATATTGTTAAAATTTTACGGGTAAACACTTATTGGGTAAGTGTTTGGTAAATGACTCCTTACTCATAATTACAACCACAACAAATCCATACTTCTTAAATCATAAGTAATATCATATTCAATAATTTTCTCAATTTGTATATACCTGCACAATGTGACAGGATGCAATATTTAAATAAATGCAAAGTATAAACACGTTTTTATATAATGGAACACATAGTCAATTTCATCTTAAGTTGGGGTGTGAGAATGTGTAGATTTGAAGTTATTGTTGGTAAGAAGCATGCTTTTATTTGACCTATATATGTCAAAAATTGAAAATTCCAACAAGAAATCTAAATGGAGCGGGTAGGTTATCTGTTCCTAAGATGTAAAACTTCACAAACTTGTGGCTATATTAGCCTGTGGTGAACCTACACGAACATAACCAATACACAATTGTAACTCTCCCATTTAGAGAAATGTGATTGCATGTATATGCATCATCATACATCCTGTTTCTCTTGTGTTTGTTTTTCACTACACAATAATATATCCTTTTATGCCCTCTACCTTCTAAGAAGTGTATTTATGGTTGTAAATTGGTGTTCTACATAGAAACGATATCATTTCGTTATGTTAACATGGTGTATCAAATTGATCAAACTTTATAACAATAATAAAAATTTCCTACAAATTTCATCGACCATCAAATAGCTAGTTTCATGATAAATATGATTCGTTAGTAATCACCCGGGATAAAGACAAGGGCATTCAACTCGAGTTTAAATCCTACCATCTATGTGGCATAAGGTATTAGGGGCAAATAAATCTTCCAAACTCCTGGGTAGAGATATAAACTTTTTGGGCAATAGTATTTATGGCATAAGGTAGTACCTGAATTTTAGTTTATAGCTGGAACTCTAACCACTCAAAAGTTGGCCTCAAATTTCAACTTCTTCAATTTGACTAAGAAAAAAAACTAGCAGTCGTAGCTATAGAAGAAAAAGTTGGTAAACATGAAGGCACATACATGAAGATGCAGAGAACTGAAACATAA